GTGTGTGTGCATGTGAATGCAGGTGTGTGAGTGTGTGTGTGTGTGTGGTGGTGTGCATGTGAATGTGTGTATGTGCATGTGAGTGTGTGTGGTGTGTGGCGTGTGCTGTCACCCAGGCTGACTGTTTCGGGGACCTGCCTCAGTTGCATTGCTGCAGCCTGGCGCCTGAGCCCGTGGGGAGCTCCCGGCTGTTGCAGGCCTGGCTGCAGGCCGAGGGTTCTGCCGGCAGGGCTGTGCCTCTGTCACTCAGCATGGCAGCGTGCCCCTGGGTGTGCCAGTTGGGCAGCTGGCCCAGCTGCAGGGCCTGGGCGAAGGGAGGAGGGGAGGAGGCTGCTGAGAGGCACTTCACCCATCGGTCATGGGGCAGGCACTGGAAATGGCTTAACTCAGAACTGCTCGTTGGTTTGTGAAATGCCCTCAAGGTCCCAGTGTGGTCCTATGATGGCGTCTTCTCCAAAACCTCTCAGCTCAAAACTGGGATCTTCTCTACTTTGTCCTTCTCCCTCGTCCACCATCCAGGTCACCTCCAGATTGCACCTGCTTTGCCCTCCCTGCTTATCAGTGTTTGAAATCTTCATTCTCGCCACAACCCACATTCAAGCCCTGTTACTCTCCCGGAGGCGGGTGATGAGCGATAAGCAAAGTGCCTCTCAGCGGCCTGCTCACCTCCTCCCTTCGCCCGGGCCCTGCCGCTGGCCAGCTGCCCTCCCGGCATTTCCCACCCTCGTTCTGGAGCCCTCAGTGGCTCTGGTCTTACAGGATGAGGGGAAACTGTCAGGCTGACGTACTTTGTCTTTCACAACATTTTAAGGAGTTATTAACCAACTTAAAAGAAACCAAGATATTTTTACACTAAACATCTGTATTTTCAACTTTTCCTGAAAACCTGGAGGATCTCACAGCCCTGAGTGCAATAGGCAGGAATGGAGTGTTCTTTTTGCTGTCTTCTCCTGGGACTCGTTTTCATCAGTTTGCCACACTCCCCACTACTCCTTATAGAGCCGCTGTCTGCCTCAGCTCTCATCTCTGTTTCCTGTGTAGCCTCTTTTAATATCTGCTATCCGGCTCAAGAACAGGGCCTTTCTGCACTATGTATTTAGAACACACCTTGTATTCTTGCCTCCTTCGTACCTTGTTGCCTCTTGTGGGTGCTCCCCCTCCCCCTTTAAACCTGTCCAAATCCTGCTATTCCATAAGGCCAGCTGACATGCTCTCTTTGTGAAACCTCCCGGCCTGGCACAGGTGGAAATTTCCCTCTCCTTAATTGCCAGGACTCTTGGGCTGTCTCTCTCTTTTGGTGCCATTGTACGTTGTTTTGTCCTGAGCTGAGACGGCATGTCTGTCCAAGACAGAGCCTTACAGCGCTGACACATGGTGCCTCGTACACAGTGGGTTCCCAGCAGGAAAGATGCGCCAAATAATCAGGCGCCTTGTTCCGTGCATCCCTACAGGAGGGCCTGTGACTACATGTTGTCAGGTGGTGGCTTACCACAGCGACTCTGAAGAGATTGTTTGATCTGTGTTTAATGTGGGGAAACCCCCAAACCCCAGTGAACGCTGGGACACCAGAGTAAGCAGTGTCACTAAGGTTACATTCAGTGATACTGCTTTATACAGAAGGTAGAGACACAGAAAACGTCAATGGAATATAAACTATATCCACACTCCTCATTAAAAATATTAAATGCCAAATAGACACAGGGTTCTATACCCGATACTAGATCAGCCTTTGCTTCCCAGGCCTCTCCCAAATGTGCCTCTGTGGCCCGTGTCTCCATGTCCTTCTCAACCAGGCTTTGGTTTGGCATCATGGACGGTGGGAATGCACCTGGGCTCAGGCCACTCCTACCCTCTGATGGATGAGGGTGGGTAGCAACATAGGTTGGTAGCCAGTGCCGTTGCCTCATGATTGTTGTAATGACTCGGGGACTTGTTTGCATCAGCTTTCCCACCGGGATGGCCACGCCCAGGGTTTCCCAGCCACCTGCCTTGAATAATGGCGGTGGCCTCGCGATGCATTTTCTTTACTCCTGTCGAGGGTCTCTGAGAAGGAAGGGAGCTTTGCTTCCCACCTCTAGTCCAGCGTGGGTGTGCTCCAGGGCAGTGCTGTCCCAAGGAATGAGAGCCTCTATAGCAGCGGTTCTCAACCTGTGGGTCATGACCCCTTTGGCGGCCTAACGACCCTTTCACAGGGGTCACCTAAGACCATCCTGCATATCAGATATTTACATTACGATTCATAACAGTAGCAACATTACAGTAATGAAGTAGCAACGAAACTAATTTTATGGTTGGGTCACAACATGAGGAACTGTATTTAAAGGGCCAGAAGGTTGAGAACCACTGTTCTATGGGGACCGTCCAGGGCAGTAGTCACTCACCACAGGCAGTAATTGAGCACTGAAATTTATGGCTCATGCGACTGAGGAGCTGAATTCTTTGTTGATTTCATTTCAGTGAATTTCAATTTAAACACCACCTGTGGCTGCCATGTTGGGCAGCCTGGATCTCCAGGACTGGGGAAAATGGGTCATGCGGGGCCTGAGGGAGAGCTGGGCAGAGGACACCTAATTGCCGGGGCCTCCTATGTGGGCGGGCCTGGAGCTTGCCGTCTTACAATACAAGGAAGAGCCCTTTTGACCAAATTGGGAGGGGCATCAAAGCTGAATAACAGCTGCAGGAAAAGCCTTCTGCGGCGTTCTGGGCAAGCCATTATTTACTTATGATCTCCTTTAAGAAGAGCAGACACAGAGGCCCTGTACCTGTGACTTCTGGAGCAGGTCCTACCCCGTCTTCCTCTGCTTGATTTCACGAACCATCACATAGATATATACCTGCTGCTCCAACCAAATATAAATGCTGCACCCAAATGACTGATTTGGGGAGGGGAGGGGAGAGGAAAGGAAATAGACTGCCACTGAGATAGGCTGTGGCCGGGAGGCCCCGAGGCTGTTATGCTCACTGTGCCTTCCCAGCGTCACTCCGAGTTCAGGGGCTGCCGGTGGTGTTGTGATCGTGGGCATTTCTTGGATGGTGTCTCAGGTCCCACCAGTCCTTTCACTCTGAGAAGTCTGGCACCCTTGACACTTCCACCACTGTCATCTTAAATTCTCCCTCAGTGAGTCTTCCTTTCAGCAGGGTTTCACATTAGACACAAACAGAGGAAGTCGGGCAGGCACAGGCAGGTCGTGGAGGGGAAGGTTAGGGCTGGGCAAGGAGACCGGTACCCAGGGAGGGGGAGCTGCACACATGTCCAGTGTGGTCTTTCCCGGTGTCCTGACAACGGAGTGGAGCCTTGGGGTCTCCTAGCATCCTCTGCCCATAAAGAGGCCACATCTGTACCCACCTCTCTGCTCTGCCCCAGGAGGGCTCCACTCAGAGAGACAGAGGGACTGGATGGAAGTGGGCCCCGTGCATTCCAGGTCAGGGCAGCAGCCCCTATGGTTTCACAGGAGTGTATCAGAGTCCTCAGTGTCCTCAAAACACTTGGGTCTGCTTTTGTGTTGGAACAGGGGAAAATGTTCTTAGAAAGGAAAGACTCAGGAAGTCAGCCTTGCCCTGAAGACCAGATGATGCAGCTGACACAGAGCAGCTAAGCCAGGTGGATGCACAGTGTCCCCCCTGCTGCCCACCCCCACCCCACACACAAACACACAGGTTTCTCAATCGCTTCTCGCCCATCCCTGTGGCTGGAGGGGTTGGAGTGCAGGTGACTCCTAATGGGAAGGTGCAATGCAAAATGACAGTGCTTCTTAGATGTGATTTGATTTCAGTATCCTCAGAGGTATGGGGGAGATCAGGTAGCAGGAGAAATGAGAAGCAGCAAAGACCTACTTTGGATTGGAAGTACGGGTTCCAAGTCAGTGAGGCCTTTCACACATTCCAGCTGTACATTCTTGCCCTCCTTTCTGGATTGACGTTTAGTTTTGGGAATATTAAACTCCAGTCATTCTGGCTGAAATGGTAACAGGAATTTACTTGTGAATGTGCCGGTTTTAGAGGAGGTTGGACTCGGTGACTGAGTGACATTCTCCAGAACCCCCTTTCCCTATTTCTCTGCCCCCGCCCCTTTGTGGAGCCAGCCCCACTCCTTTCGGGTTCCATGATGACTGCTGGCAATGTTCAGGTTCAGAGCTTTCCCAGCCCACTGTCAGATCGGAGGGATGCGTCTGTTGGAAGAGCTTCTATTCCCAGAGGCCCTCACTGGTCTCAGTTGGGTCCGAGTCCTCTCTTGAGTCAGTAACTGGGGCTGGGCTCAGGCGAGGCTCATCCAAGTGCCCCACCTCAGAAACCTGTGACAAAATCAGGTTTTCCACAGGCCCAGAATCATAAAAGAAGTTAACCCCCCAAAAAGAATCAAAGATCTGGTAGTCACTGAGAGAAGGGGAGTCGTTGGGTAGGAAACCCCAACTCTCACTACTCTTTCTATAATTTACCAATCCTTCTTGTGTATTTATCATTGCAGTTTTCTGTCCAAAAGCAGAAAGTTGTTATATTTGAAAATTTACTTTTTACTGCTTTGTGACTCTTAAACTTCCTTTGTTCCCCCTCTTTCCTTCCCTCTCCTCCCTCCCTCCTCTTTTTTCTCCCTCCTTCTCCCTACTTTTTCTTGTTTTCCCTCCCTCCCTTTTCCTCTCTCCCATTTCCCCTTCCTTCCCCTCCTTTCCCTCCTCTTCCTCCTAGTCTCTTCTTCCCCTTTATTGTCAACTGGTGATCTAGTCATTTATTTAACTCAACTAAGTTGGTTCAGCACGATGTAGTTTCTCACTAAATAGAATGCCTTCCCATTTGTCCTCCAGGAAGAAGAAATGCCAGATGTAGAAATTGACATTGATGATCTTCTTGATGCAGACAGTGAAGAAGAGAGAGCTTTAAAATTACGGGTAAGCAGCTTTCAAAATCTAGAACCTTCCCGTTGTAGGTGCTTGAATCCACTCGGGGCTCCTGAGCTTGCAGAGGGGAAAGGGATGGGATGCTAGGTATTCACCCTCCTGAAGCTCACCTCTGATTCTCTGACGGTAAAGCAGTTCTTGACAACAGTCAGTTCTCGAAGCACCTTATGGATGTGAGTTTTTCCAGCCTTTTCTTTTGGGAGGGAGAGCTGGCTCTTCCTCTTGAGATCCATGTGCCAGAGAAGGAAGAGATGCCCAACAATTATATGAGAGGGAGGAGGGCTGAGCTGGAACTGGGTGTCTAAACTCAGGACTCTGGTCTTGCAGTTGTGGATTCTATCACTCATGACATTCATTTCTACATAAGATTATGTACAACATAATTCTGTTTAATAAAGTTTCTTTTACTAGAGTATGCTCACCTGATAGCATCCTGAGATGTCTCATGCTGAGATGTCTCATGTTTCCTTGGCCCACAGTAATACAATATTTATTTCCCTTCCCAGAAGAGGTCAAATCTATCATTTAAAAATCTATATTTGGGTGTTTCTAAAACCAGTCAACCTTTAACTTGCCAATGTTTTGAATGTTCACAGATAATTACTGTTAATGGTGGTTGGTTATTACCAGGGGCAAATGATCGCTAAAGGCAATTAAAGGGCACATTTTAATATATGAATGTGTTAATAATTACTAACATCCCTTGAGTGGCGAACAAGTCTTGGTTTAATGATTATATCTTGTTGGTAAATTTAAGTGGGAGATGAAAGTTAAAAAAAAGGAAAGCAGGCATCAGTTTTATACAGCATGGAATGACATCAAGTTTTCCTAACATTGAGAACTTGAAAGGGGTGTAGCTACCGTCAGGTCATCCCCTTTGGTTTCCAGGTGAGGACACTGAAGCCTGCAGAGGTGTGACCCAGGCCCCTGACTCTCCAGTGTGATTATCCAGTGTGATTGTCACCGTCTTTCATAGGCTGTCTCAATTTAAGTATATCCAGTTTATTATTAACCAAGTTGGCAGCCCAAAGGAAAGGTGTGTGTGTATGCCTGTGCATGCATGTGCTCTGGAAAATGTAAGGCATGCCTGCATATGAAGGACACAACTCTTTATATCTTTTAAAAAATAAGTTTAAATTGATTTTTAGAAGAGGAAGGGAGATATAGAACCATCAACGAGAGAGAAACTATCGATTGGCTGCCTCCTACCCACCCCCTACTGGGGACCGAGCCCCGCAATCCTGGCATGTGCTCTGACCAAGAATCAAACCCGTGACCTCTTGGTTCCTGGGTCAAAGCTCAACCACTGAACAACCCTGGCCCCGCACAACTCGTTATATCTCCAGGTGGTCAGTGGGTATTGAAATAAAGTGTGATTCTAGATAGTCAATATGAAATGTTGATTCACCATGTTTAGAATAATACTATAAAGAAGAAATAATTTTTAATTTCACCTTTAAAATGATACTGATTTTTAAAATAATAAAACTTACCTTCTGTGTATTTCATTCCAGGAAGCTCTCGTAGACTGCCACAAACCAACAGAGGTAAGCAAATCATGTTTCCTAAATGCCATGTTTGAATTGGTTTTTATTAAATCAATTTGTCTATTTTTAAAGCCAAACCACAATAAGTGGGTTTGATTACATATATACTAAGTAGCAATTATTACCCATAATTATTTGTAAGCCTGAACATGCCTGGTTTAGGAAGACTTAAAATGAATTGATTTTCATGCGTTGCTTGCTTTTATATAAAAGCCAAACTTCAAAGGTACTTGTAAGAGGTTTTGGAATCATTTTAGTAGAGGTTTTAGGTTGTAACTGGAGAATGCATTCTATTGGTGTCTAGGTGTGTATTTTTTAAAAAGCTTACAGCCAATTCTGTTGTTCAAAATTGAACAGTTGCCTTTCTTGGAAGGAGCAATTTTATGTTTAGTTTGGATACTTATCAAGTGTATAAGTACTACTGTGGAAAACAATGGGTATTAGTTTGGTTAGACCGAAGCATTTAATGTATACACTAAAGACCAAAAGAACAATGTGGGAATTGAGGATTTGATCAGTTAAGAAAATATTGGTGAAAGAAGTACTTTTACTGTATCTCTGTGATAACTCAGAGAAATAGGAAGATTTATCAGATGCTTGGGAGTCCATTTGGTGGTAGGACTTCTGCTTTTTGAAGTGACATAATTACAAAGTGAGGGGAAAGCATGCTTTTATAAGAATGTGTAAGATTTAAATGACTGGGTGTTTTATGATCATTTGGTTTATGGCCAGTTACTACCTTGAGCTTTATTCTTACAATCTCTCTGGGACCTTGGCTCCTAACTGCTTGCCTGCCTGCCAGCCTGATCACCCCCAACTGCCCTCCCCTGCCAGCCTGATCGCTCCCAACTGCTCTCCCCTACCGGCCTGATTGCCCCCAAGTGCCCTCCCCTGCTGTGACCAGCCTCCTCCACGCTGCGCAGAGCAGTGGGACCCCCAGGCCTCACCACGCGGAGCTTCCACTGTGTGTGCAGCCATCTTGTGGTGGCCATCCTGTGGGGGCATCGCATGAGGGTGTGACACCACCTAGGCTTTTATTATATAGGATTTGTTCCCCTACCCCCCAGGTTTGGACATCCATTTTTTTTTTTCCTAGAGAGGTATTAACATAGAGCTGATTGAAATGTAGAAAAAGAATGTCTTCATGTAATGCAAGAAGAAAAGGAGTATTTTTGTTTGGTTATTACTTGGATCTGGAGGATCCGTAGTTAACGGCATAGCAGACATTGTAGCAATCAGGGGTGGGGGTACTAGGAGGAGCTTGCTTTTCTATTTCTCAGTCTAACTGTACATGATTTTCAGATCTTAAGATCACAAAGGAGCGTGCCTCCATTGCATTGGGATGTGACAGAAAATACATTTAATATGGGCTTGAGGGCACCTGTGTTAGCATCTGTTAAGGTAGTTAGTTGCCAGTCCAATCCACGGGCTTTTAGAAATCTCTTCTTACAGTTGAAGGTGGCTGTGCCATTCTCTCAGATAAACATCTGATTTTTTTTTTTCTGTGCATTTGTTTCATTTCTGTGAAACAGAGGTTGTATTTCCTATCGTTTTGGCAATCAAAGCCTGTAAGTGGATATGATCAGGGGTTCATGCAGATGACTAAGTCTAAGAGTAGGTGGTGGGAAGCATCTCTGGGCCTCAGTAACCTGCCTGGTTGCGGAAATGGCACATCCACATGAAGACGCAGGAAAGGAATTTCTGCTCATGGTTGTAAATAGAAGTAGACAGGAGCAGGCCTGCTTTGTGGTTCTTTCTGTGTTGGTAGCCATAAGGCAGAATCCTCAGCTTTTGCCTTGGTCTCACTTTCTGTCTGACACGCTTCGGTGGTGGTCATTGTCAACTCATTCTGATCACATCAGCTCCTACCCATGTAGCATTTTAACCTGTTGTTTGAAATATTCTTGAGTTTCTGTATCCCTGGAAGTACTCACAGGCCCTGTTCACTGAGCTGATTGTAGAAAAGAAAAACTATAAACTGGATATTTACAAAACAGAGAGGCTGTGTGGGTGATGGGAGGAGACACAGCTTGGCATTTTGCTATATTTTCTTTATTCATTTGTTCAACAAATGTTTATCAAACATCTATGTGTCTGTAACTAATCTAGGAACTCAGATAAAACAGCGAATCTGTATGTTCCTTTTAAAAACAATCTCATATAAAGCCACAGTGAGCTATGGGGAGACTTTAAATGCTGAAAGAATATTAAAGAAGGAATAACAGGACAGAAATGCCAGGGTGTCAGCTTATCCCATGGTTCTCTAAGTTAGGAACCAACGTGCTTAATAGGATATGATTTTATGGGAATCTGTACTTGCTGGAGAAACTGAGGAAGGGGGCACTTCACTCCACTCTAACAGGTGTGAGTGTCTACACTCAGGGGAACCTTTTCGTGTGGCTTCTTATGGGGTTTCCTTAAAAAAGACTGCAGTTTTGGGCTGCGGTGAGGAATAGAGCTTAAATGCTAGATTAAGTTGAAATACAACCTTTGAAAGCTGCCACCTTCAGAACAATGTTTCTAACTAGTGAGAGAACTGGGAGCTTCCAAAGGAAGACTATAATCAGATGAAAAGGACATTCTAGTGGTTGTAGCCCTCGGCTATGAGAGCCTTATGTTTCAGTGTACGGTAATTAGGGGGTAAGTAATAAAGGGGTGGGACTTATTCACCAGAAACATGAGTAACCTTACCTAGTAGCCAAAAAAATTTGGTCCCAGTATGTCAGTTGCTTATACACTTAGAATAGGGCTCTTTATACACCAGGCCTCCTCGGCCCAGGAAAAAGAGCCGGGCCGTGCTGGAGCTGGTGTTCGGACCCCACATTTGAGTTGACATCCTGTGTTCTGTCTACTTCTCACCTCCTTTCTCTGAATTCTTACTGGGTGAGCACACGCTCCACTCTGGTATATTTATAAACCTGATTAAGGTGATCTTCATTGAGGAAAATCAAGCCAGAAACATTACTAGTAGGTGAGCTTGCCAAAGACATGGAGTCATGGAGCAAAACTCTGCATTTATTTCCTATTCTTCATTCCACATCCTCTGCCGAGTTAGGAAACCATCCCCAACACCATTCCCACTTCTGACACCAATTGCAAGTGCAAGGCCATACTCATGGTTGCTGTTTTGCTAGAAGGACCCACAGAACTCACTGAAAGTTGTCACACCCGCAGTGATATCCCAGTGAAAGGCTACAGATGAAAGTCAGCCAGGGGAAGAGATGCATGGGACAGAGTCCAGGAAAGTTCCAAGTGCAGAGCCTCCAGCCGTCCTCTCCCAGGGGAGTCACAGAGAGTGCTGACTCTCAGCTATGCGGTGTGGCAGTGTAGAGAGTATTGTCAACCAGGGAAGCTCATCTGAGCCAAATATTTTTTATTGGGACTTGGTCACATAGTCATGGTTGACTGCCCACAGTGACCTCAAGTCACCCGGCCCTCTGAACATTGAGCTGGTACCATGTGACCCAAAGTCCCCACCCTACATCACATTGTTAGACTGTCTTTCATGTCCCTAGGCCCCAGGTGAACAAAGACACTCTCATCAGGCAGAACATTCCAAGGGCTTAGAGCTTGCCTCCCAGGAGCTGAGGCAAAGACCAGACATCTTTCTGGGCAAGATTAAATTCTTTACTACACACTCTTAGAAGCAGTTTGACCATGACAATATTGATGATGATGATGACAACAATAATTGTGATGTAACATAAGGAAAGAAAAAAGAGATGCCATGATAGGAAGAGCCACACGTATTTTGCCTTTGGATGCTTTTCTTCCAGCAATTAATGATTTTTTTTTTTAAGCGGGATGGAGGAGGAGGAGGGTACAGGTTTTAAAGGGCAGTGGACCTTTAAAATGGTTGGCATTTTTGAGTGATTTGAGTGTGATTTTATGGCCTTTCCTTTTTTCATTAAACTCAAAATTAATGATCGAGTTTTAAAAGCTGATCAACTCTATCTCATAAACAGCTCCACATTCTCTTCTTGTGTTTAGACTTATCTAGACAGAAGAGGGAATATGAGTTAAGAGCAGTTTAACACATGACATTTGGATTGCTATAATTTTTAGCAAAGGGAGTTACTACCAAAACCAAATTTCAAAGTTTGGAAATGGGTTTCTTTCATTTACATGAGACTGAGGTTCTTGTAGGAAGTACTATTGTCCCTTGTTGGTAATGGGACCCTTGATGAAATTAGTTTTGTGGTGACTATAAAATGGGAGATTATAATTTTGCTGAATTAACTCCGTTGGTTATTTGCATTGGTTGGATCATTTACGTGGATTTTATGTTATGTCTGAATTCCAAGTGTGTGGATTTTGAGAAAACAATTAGTAAGTGAAGCAAGAACTAAATGCTGGTAAAGTTGAATATGGTAAGAGCAAAGGAACTGTTGTTCTGCATACAAATAAGGGCTAGAATTTGGATACAAAATAAATTAGCCTAAGAGCAGTAGTCTGAAACTCTAAAGTAGATTAAGGGGACTGCTCTTATCAGCAGAACAAATTAATCTTTAAAGGCATATAGTCAAGAAAATAAATGGACAAAGTAGTGTCAGTGGTTTTTAAGTTAAAGGAGATGGGGTGATTGGGGGTGGGTAGAGGGGTCATCCAGGATGCCTAAGACTTTCAGGAATTTCTGTTGGCAGAAGTGATTATAATAACAGCAGGCACAAACCTTTACTCATAACAGATTCATGAGCCTCTTTTCGGATAATGAAAAATAGGATCAGTTCTAGTGTGCCCTGCTAGCAAATGAACCTCTCCAATGATAAACAGCACTATCCACTCTCTCCTCTGAGAGGAAAGAAATTAAATATCTCAGTGGGTAGTGATGACGGTGCTGAAAGCTTGTGACTGCAGGGAGCGAATCCCAGTGTTACATGGGGCTGGGGACGCCCCAGAAACTGTGTTCTCAGTACTGAATCGCTGCCTGTCCCTTTGGCCTCCTGTGTGACCTGAATATTTAAGCCAATAAAAGTTTACAGTGTGATGTTTAAATGCTT